AACCAGCCCTGGGACTCAAGTATTTTGATCCAGATCTAAGACTGGATCAATATACTTTACGAGGTATCCAGTATTATCATGTGAACAAAATAAGGTAATATATATGGTTGGCTAATTTACTCATGAATAATTAATGGTGAATATTTACCAGGTTTCGCTACTGTGTCATCATCGTTGGCAATGCATCGCACCTGTGGAAATATTATATGGACGTTATTATATCATCACACATAATTCACACACGTTACAAGAATACAAACTTTCTGCGCTGATTAGGGGTACAATTTTATTTGACTAAGCATAAATTGTTCTGGATTCCTATAGTTTACATTAACTACTTCTTGAAAGGAGGCATGGGATTTAAAGAGAACGAGAACAACTTTCTATTCTTCCAAAAGTTAAAAGCAAACGATTCAAATGGTGATTTTTTAACCGATGTCTTTTTAACTACTTTTATAAATGATGTAAATATATATTTAACGTATAACCGTTGAAACAATTTTACGATTATGATCATTCTTGTTGCGATATGAGATACAGTATATATAAACAACATTCACGAACATCTAGCATTATTGATTTAGTCATTGTTGGAGAGTTATTTAAGAGGTTATTAAAGAGCAAAACATGGTGTCAGGGATCTTTTAACTGAGGACGTGTGGATATATATCTTTTTGAAAAAATATCGCAACACGAGCGTTAAAAGTGCAAATATTTCGAAGATTTACGTGATTCTGTAGGTCGCCATATTGGATTTTCTGAATTCGGAAAACAAGCTTTGATTCAAAACCGTAAAAAAAGCATGACAACGTACCAGATTCCAGCACCAGAACCAATGAACTGCAATGGCAATGTCGCAAACAACTGGAAGAGTTTTCATGAAACATATGAAGATTATTAGATTAGAAAAAAAAGTTCAAGTGGCCACGACGTTGTAAAGTCTAATAGTAACTTCAGAGGCCAATATGAAAGATCTAGCTATTATTCTTTCAAAGCTGCAAGACCATTTCGTACCAGCGCGGAATATTCTGTATGAGAGATATATTTTCCATAACACTAAACAGCAAGTACATGAAACTATTGACCAGTTTCTTATAATGCTCAGCTTATAAAGAGACCGTCTGGTTCTTGGCTGTCTGGACAGTGCGGCCAGGACCAGGCTTTTCCGCGAGATAAATTGCACTCTCAAGAAAGCTAGAGTCCCTTCATATAAGTGAGACCACAATTGAACAACTGAAGAAAATAGAGAGAGAGGACAATCAACAGCCTGGCAATTATACTCAAAGAGAAGATGGAAAGGCGAATCATTTCTAATCAGTTTGCATGCAGAAGCAAGGAGTTAACCTTATGAATGAACAATCATCGGATGACGAGTAGGCATTTTATGTCGAAACTGTTGACGCAATAAGACATGTGGAAAGAAAGCGTTATTTTGTATCCCTTTCCTTTTGGGATTAGGACGGTGGTGAAAGTCAAATGCAATGCCAGCTTGACACAGGGGCCACCTGTAATGTCATATCCTTCAATACCTTATGTGAAATCAGGCAGAGTGGAAGCCCAGCCATGCATGCAGCCAACTAACACCAAATTAAAGTTGTATAATGGGAGTTTTGTACCAGCCCTCGGAGAATGTGACCTTAACTGCATCTACAATGGAGAAAGTCGCAAGCTTAACTTCAAGACAAGCATGCATGGGATTGATCACTGTGCATATAGCTAACAGCATAATTATTTCTCCGGTAACAGCTCCATCAGATATTTTCATGGAATATAAAGATGTATTCGAGGGACTTGGCTGCTTGCCTGGTAAGTACCACCTAGAGATTGACCCTGATGCTCAACATGTGAAGCGTACCCCCAGAACAATTGCAATACCATTTAAAGCCGAGAAAAAAGCACATATTGAAACCTTAGAAAAAATGGAGGTTCTCAAGAAAGTCACAGAGCCGACTGAATGGATTTGCAGTCACGTTATTGTGCAGAAGGGATCCAAGCTTCGACTGTGTTTCGATCCAAAGGACTTAAACAAAGCATCGTAGTGGTCCCACTTCCCGATCCCGACGATAGAAGAAATCCTACTTGAGCTTGCGAAAGCCAAAGTTTAGTGTTGAAGATGCGAAGGCTTCTGGCAAGTCAAACTTGATGAAGCATGTAGCTACCTCACGACATTCTGGACCCTGTTTGGGAGGTCCCTGCTTACCCCCGATGGTGTAAAGCCTCCTTTTTTTAACGTGCAGTGCAAGACATGCCACGACCTGATGGATGTAGCAAGGCAGAGAAGGTGAAAGCTGCGCAAAGATTTCTAGGCTTTGTCAATTACCTCGCCAAATTCGTGCCACATCTCGCAGACGAGAGTGAACAGCTAAGACGACTAACCGACAAGTATGTTGAATGGGTCTGGGAAAGCAGCATCAAGATGCCTTCGACCGTATCAAGAAATTGGTTGCAAACCATCCAGTTCTATGTTATTATGATGTTAGCAAGCCAGTATCAATTCAGTGTGACAGCAATGAGACTCAACATTTAGGTTCAGGATATACAATGAATTACTGCTGAGATTTATTACTTTATTAAACTTAATTTCAGACTGTTTCATTATTATTTTGGAGAAGAAGATGTTACGATATGTACGGGCTACTGTACCGGTATCGCCCGCGGTGTTGTTCATCAGCGGATAATGGAGATACAGTTTATTTAAACTACATTCACGAACATCTAGCATTATTGATTTAGACATTGTTGGAGAGTTATTTAAGAGGTTATTAAAGAGCGAATGAATTCTTATATATCATATTACTATAATTTATATTGTAGTTTGTTAAGCATACATATGTTGTCTGTATCTGTCAATAAATATATGACAGTTGTGAATTGAGAGAAATACAACTATACCTGAAAAAATACAAGCAGAACTTCAACATTTCCAGCGAACGACCTTCAGGTAGTTGTATCTTTTCTTATAGACAGATCCGCAGCTGTCTTATATGTTATCGTCGCCACCTACACTGGCACATAATAATATTATGGCGTTGGTATGCAAACGGAAGGTGTAGTTTCACTATATTTTGTGATTTCAAACAAGAACGGTTTTCACTCTCTATAATGGCTTGACTGACTTATGATCGGCGATCGGAAAGCAATCTTACATGAGAAAGCATAGTCTCTCAATTTCACGAGCTTGCCGGAACAAGCCCCTTCACCTCTTCATGAGATCATGGCGCGAATTTCAGTTTTCGTACTGCGGACTCATGTATACTTATGCATGCAAAAATGGTCAGTTAACGTCCTATCAAAAGTCATGTGGTTCGTACGGGCACTTCGTTTTCCTCCCACAGAATAGAGGGTGTTTCAGATGCCAACAACGAACAATAATGCAAGAAACGTTCAAGTACTTGTTTTAATTCACATTGCTATAGAACCGAGACAAAAAATTTTGCATATATCGCCTACAGCAAACTTTTCACCGTAGGTCATTGACGACGACGTAAAAATCATATTCTTGCATTGTAAAAGCAGAATCAAGAACATACGTAGATCCAAAACTGAGGCAACGCTGCATATTGGAAATATTTTTATAAGGAACTGATGAAACTTAAAAGATACAATCATGGATAGTTAAAAAAAAGATGGATGGGAAACAGCTGTCGCCAGCAGACATGAACTATTTGAAATGCGCGATGTCAATGTCATGGATACAACAAAATAATATAATGAAGTTTACTGCGTTTCCCTTCCAATATTTTTTCGTTTTCGAAAAAGGCAACGTATTCGAGATATTTGTTGTTCGTCTTTGTTTGAAGTATTTTATTTTTAGTCTAGGATCTGCATGCATGTATATGAGTTTGTATATGCGTTCCATTTAGGACAGGTAATCTCAACTGTTTTATGGTAAATGATCATGGCGGTCAACATGGCATATGTGCCAAAACCTGAATCCGGCACGAAAGTCATGAAAATGACCCCGCCCTGAAACGGCAGTGTCAAAATAGCTCTAACTAACTTCCGAAAAGGAAAAGCGATAGCCTTTCTCAAGTGCTTATAGTGTTTAGAACGGTTGCTTTAAGGGGTGGTCATTGGAAGGAAAAATTTGTCTAAATATAATATTTTACAAGAAAATGACCATGCACCACCCCCGTTAAATTGCTAATCATGCATAAAATAACTAATATGCCTGGAAGAAATTAAATTTTCTTATTTCCTAAAAAAAATTATTATGGGTTGAAAAACTATGCTTAGTTCAATATAATTATTGTGGATTTCATAAGAATTGTCATTGTTTTCTTTTAATATAATACATTTTATTTCACTTACCCCCCACGAAAACACGATTTCAGTCATATTTTGCCGTCTTTTTTTGCTTTTTATCGTCGAGTCTCGCAAATATCATCCAGTTGTTGTAGTTTTACATAATGATCAATGGCATCAAGTTTTGAAACTACAGTGAAGTGTATTTTATCTTCGATATTGTGTCCTTCGATATTTCGTGAAATATTGTGCCATTGCAATGGCTCGCCGCTTCTCTGCCCGAAAATGCCACTTCTTCGTCTTCCTATGTACTTAGATTACAGTATCCAAGAGTACTTCATTGTAGAATAGTCCCAATCGAAAAATTGAAAACATTATTTGCACTTGAAAGGAAAAAACCTCCCACAACACTTGTTGTATCAGAGTCCAAAAGAAGTAATTTAAAAGTCACGCGCAAGTTAAGTTCGCGAAAACTCCTCGTGGGTTACATGAGGGGAAGGGGGGGTAAATATTTTCACGAAACGTTTGTTCCAGCACCACAACAACCTACTAAATACATTATATTATTTGTATTTTTATGATTTATGATAAAAACAATGAATATTTGCGTAATGTTATCATCAATCATAAAAATACAAAAACATGTACTATTCAGTTAATTAGTTTGGTTGCTGTGGTGACGAACAAACATTTCCAGAAAATATTCTCACCCCCCCCCCCCCCCCCCC